TCGGACACAGCAGCTGGTCCCAGACGGAGCCGCCAAGGGCGCGTGGCTGGAGCTGCGGCTCCCCCGCACGTGGTGCAGGGGGAGCGCCGGTGGCACTGTCCTCGGTCGAACGCTGAGCGGTCTTGTTGGCATGCGAAGCAGAGGCACCGCTGTTCTGCTCTTGCTGCTGCTGAGAGGAGGCGGCGTGCTTGTTCTTGATGGCGCCGAAGCGAGCGTGGATGGTGTGGACAACGCGTCGCGTGTCCGGCATCCAGACGACGTGGGCCTGGTCCTCCTTGGCGAAGCCGACGTAGACGCCAACGCGTGAGCGTGGGTCAAGCTTGTGCCGCGTGCTGCTCTTCTCCACATGCACGTAGGCCGGCTGTTGAGAGTGAGTGAGTTTCTGTTTTGTGTTGAGTCCTTCCTAATTTGCCTTCTCATGTGGTTTTGTCTTGTTTGCCAACAACACCTGCTTTGTGGTTTTTTCCGTTGGCAAACATCCCTTCCTCTCTGCTGGCATGCATGTGTGCCAACTGCCTCTCCTCTCCTGCTTCCCCTACACACGTGAGTTGTGTGCCATGTGTGTGTGCATGCTCGCCATGCTTGGCAAATGCCATGTGTGCGTGCCATGCAGTGTTGTGAAGTGTTGTCTGTTGTGTATGCTTGCCTGCAAGCATTCATGCCATGCCTAGCATTGCTCTGCGCGCATGTATGCATGCTGGTCGTTGTTTAGATTGTTTGTGTTCGTGCACTCTCTGCCCATGTCGGCTTGGCAGCTCTGTTGACTGTGTGTGCACTTGTCTTGTATTCGTTTGAGCGTGCTGCCCGAGTTGATTTGGCAGCAGCTTGTTGTGCTTGTTCATTCTCCTTGTGTTCTTGTTTGTTGCGTTTGCCTACAGTAAACACACACACACCACCTGTCGTGTTTCTACAGATTATGAGACCCAGCCACTCCTGATCATCATCGCCACTTGTCTCACACTCGCTTGTGCTTCTTCTCTCCCTTCTGCTTGTTCCCCTCTCTTGTTTCTCCATCACCTTTCTTGAGCGTGCAGTATGTCTGACCCGTCGGACCACGTCGTTTCCACGCCAGGATTCAAGATGGACCTGCCCAAGTTCTCTGGCTCGCCCGGCACCTTTCATGCGTGGAGCATTCGCATGAAGATGGCGCTCAAGCTGCGCGGCGACGACGTCTGGGCAGCTGTGGAGGCAGGAGCATCGTCATCGGGAGGTCCAAGTTCAGCGACACGCTCAAGTGCAAGGAGACCGACAGCAGGAGATCACGCCAACCTCACCGCTGCAAACCTCATCGCGTCCACGCTCTCAGGCTACCCCCTTCTCCTCTTCACCAACGGAGAAGCAGACGTCAACGCCGGCCAAGGATGGGCCCGGCTCAAGGACCACTACGCTTCGCAGGACCGCCTCCGCATCGCAGAGCTCAAGGAGGCGCAGCTTCACGTCCCCTGCGGCAACCTCGCCCGCTTCTTCGAGCGACACATGGAGCTGCAGCAGCAGTTGCAGGACGCAGGCGTGCGCCAGGGACAACGAGGACTTCTTCACATCGTCTGGAAAGC